TTAGTGACCTTTAGGGGTCATCCAAAGTGCCAAGATATGTGACATTCAGGGGTCATACAAAGTGCCAAGATGTGTGACATTTAGGGGTCATCCAAAGTGCCAAGATGTGTGACATTTAGGGGTCATACAAAGTGTCAGGACTAATGACCTTTAGGGGTCATCCAAAGTGTCAGAACTAGTGACCTTTAGGGGGTCATCCAAAATGCCAGGATTAGTGACCTTTAGGGGTCATCCAATGTGCCAGGATTATTGACCTTTAGGGGGTCATCCAAAATGCCAGGATTAGTGACCTTTAGAGGTCATCCAAAATGCCAGGATTAGTGACATTTAGGGGTCATCCAAAGTGCCAAGATGTGTGACATTTAGGGGTCATTCAAAGTGCCAAGATGTGTGACATTTAGGGGTCATCCAAAGTGCCAAGATGTGTGACCTTTAGGGGTCATCCAAAGTGCCAAGATGTGTGACATTTAGGGGGTCATCCAAAGTGCCAAGATGTGTGACATTTAGGGGTCATCCAAAGTGCCAAGATGTGTGACATTTAGGGGTCATCCAAAGTGCCAAGATGTGTGACATTTAGGGGTCATCCAAAGTGCCAAGATGTGTGACATTTAGGGGTCATACATGTACATTGGGCCAATTCAATCAAACCTGTATTATTTCTCATCAATAAACAATTCTGACTTTGTGGATGCAGTCAATTAAAAACTTAATTTAGAATATTTACCTGCGTTTCAGAGTTTGGTGAAGAATTACTTCTCGGTTGGTTTTCTAAGTAATAAAAAAGATCTTCATGTAAAAATTTGATACAGATCAATCGACAAAACCCAGAGCTCACACAACAAGCGATTCGAGAGACATGCTGCCTATTGACCTTCCTGGAACATGTCCATCATTGGCGAGTTAGATCATAAATATTCATACGCTGATCCCTATGCAGATCTTGCATACATGTCCCATGTGATATACAACACAGGTAAAACATACAATGTGACAACCGAGTTGCATTAACACACCAACATTTGACAGAAATTCTTGCCATGGCATGTGATCAGATGAAAGAACTTTTCCATTAGCTGGATCTATCTTCAAATAACACTAGAATGAGTCAACACATTTTTAGAAATCCCCCTTAATTAATTACCTAAAGTGCCCGCACCACTGATAGAACTATCTGTTTCTTCCGATTTCACTTCACTGTAAAGAAAAAACAAATCAATAATTTTATTGAAGTTTTGGTTAAATTAAACTTCTCTAATATACTGGAAAACTTAAACATGGGCAGTTCGGAGTCAGTGACCTGAGACCCCTGACCACGCATGTGTAATTTCATTCATAAATGACACTAAATGTTTTTATACATTACAATAACTCACCTGGAACTCTCTCCCTCTGGTCCAACTCTTTCTGATTTGTTTAGCGCACTATAAAAACAACAACAACATATATATATATATATATGAGCTGATGTTTGAAGTTTAAAACTTGATTGGTCCAGGCAGGTATGTATGAGATATAGCTCAGTGGAAAAGATGGCCGCTAATCAGCCATTTTGGATTTGATGAAGCGCAAAGTTTGAACTTGATCAGTTCATGCATGTCAGATATACAGATCTAGAATTACATTCTATGAAACAAAATGACTCCCAGTCAGCCATTTTGAGCCTGATCCAAAATATAAAATGATACGCATCAAGGTCCCATTATATTGATGGCATGAATCCGTCCATGCATGACCCAGATTCAGTTTCAGAATGGTGAAAATGTGTGATTTTGATACATTTATGGTCTTAAAATGGCTGCCATCAACGCAAAATTAATCACCTTATTGTTTGTTTCAATGTAACAATTTCATCTTGATACTGTTTTTGTACATCAGTGAGATTCTTTTGAAGTACGCTGTTTGTTGCTTGTAACCGACGAATCTCGGCTTGATGATCTAACCCTTGACCTTCCTCTAATTCTTTCTTCTCACGTTCCAACTTCTCGTTCTTATCGTATAACTGCAAGAAGGAGATATGAATCATTGTTGCTAACAAAAATTGTGAATTTAAAACTTTTACTATTATCTTATATATGATAAATTTTACATACACAGATTAGAATCATGCTGGACCAACCAAGGTAAAATAAAAACGGGGACGACCAAAGGAAACTTCGTGCTTGACAATAGAGAATGACCTTTGACACAGCCACCAAAGAAGCTGCAGATAGAAATAACAATGTCATCTAAAATGGTGTAATTAATGGTAGGTATAAGCTTACCAGGGACAGTTCTTGCATCATGGTACTGTTCTGTAACCTGAAATCGTCTTCCTGACTGTCCATCTTGTTCTGCATGTGTTCATTTTCGGTCAATAAAATCTCATATTCCTAGAATAAATACACAACAACAGTTATGTGAGTGTATAATGGAAAAGCTTGGAATAGCTTCCAACAGGCATTTACTCATGAATATTCAAGTCATAGCTTCCAAATACAGGCAGTAATAATTCATGATATTCAAATCATAACTTCCAAATACAGGCGTTTACTCATGATATTCAAATCATAACTTCCAAATATAGGCGTTTACTCATGATATGCAAATCATAACTTCCAAATATAGGCGTTTACTCATGATATGCAAATCATAACTTCCAAATACAGGCGTTTACTCATGATATGCAAATCATAACTTCCAAATATAGACGTTTACTCATGATATGCAAATCATAACTTCCAAATACAGGTGTTTACTCATGATATTCAAATCATAACTTCCAAATACAGGCGTTTACTCATGATATTCAAATCATAACTTCCAAATACAGGTGTTTACTCATGACATGCAAATCATAACTTCGAAATACAGGCGTTTACTCGTGATACTCAAATCATAACTTCCAAATACAGGTGTTTATTCATGATATGCAAATCATTACTTCCAAATACAGGCGTTTTAATACTCATGATATTCAAATGACAGCTTCCAAATAAAGGCGTTTACTCATGATATTCAAATGACAGCTTCCAAATAAAGGCATTTACTCATGATATTCAAATCATAGCTTCCACATACAGGCATATAATCATGAATATTCAAATCATAACTTCCAAATACAGGCGTTCACTCATGATATTCAAATCTAAACTTCCAAATACAGGCGTTTACTCATGATATTCAAATCACAGCTTCCACATACAGGCATTTACTCATGATATTCAAATCATAACTTCCAAATACAGGCGTTTACTCATGATATTCAAATCATAACTTCCAAATACAGGTGTTTACTCATGCTATTCAAATCATAACTTCCAAATACAGGCGTTTACTCATGATATTCAAATGACAGCTTCCAAATACAGGCGTATACTCATGATATTCAAATGACAGCTTCCAAATACAGGCGTTTACTCATGACATTCAAATGACAGCTTCCAAATAAAGGCGTTTACTCATGATATTCAAATGACAGCTTCCAAATAAAGGAGTTTACTCATGATATTCAAATGACAGCTTCCAAATAAAGGAGTTTACTCATGATATTCAAATGACAGCTTCCACATACAGGCATTTACTTATGAATATTCAAATCATAGTTTCCAAACAATGCAATTGGAGAGGAGCCTGATAACTATCTTATTTCAAATATATACAGAAGCATTATAAAGTAGACTAGGAATGAAATCCTGCTTACCTGTGCTTTCTTACTTTTCAGTACAACCTGAGTAATAATCAGACAATGAAATAGCTTCAGTAAATGCACATGGTCAAACTGGAAACTGGGTATGATGTTCATGTATCCAGCAATGCTGGAGTTCACTCTATACACTATGTCTCCTAAAATCATGAACGTAACTCACCTTGTTGGCTTTCTGCAAGTCCTTTTCAAGAGTTCCAATCGTTTGTTTAAGAGTTGAAATTTCTGTTTAAAAAAGAAATGTCAAAGCTTTCCTTAAAATATAAAATGCACACTGAAAACAAGCTAACAAAATTCTGCCATGATTTTTATACAAATCTGTATTCCATTCAAAACCCAGATATAGAAATTGTTGGAAATGGCTGTAATGAGGACAGTGACACTTACTCAACACAGAACAGAGACTCATAAATTAGTTGTTAGTATTAAACATAATTACTGATGTTAACATTAAAAAAAAACTGTTATTCAATTAATACTCTAATGAATCATTAGTATAGTAGCGTACATAACATTAGTGTATTTTCTTTTTTTCAGTATTTTTTTCCCAGACAATTAATGCATCTATTACTGCATACTACTCAAAGGTTGCTAGGAAATGTAGTTGAAGTAACTATAATATCAGTTTTATTGAAACAGATATGCAAATTAGTTCTCGTTCTTCTCCCTTGTCATTTTAAATTTATAAATGTGTACGTAACTAAACTGTAATAGATTTGTGATTTCCAACAAAGAATGATTATTTAAGAGTTCAACTCAGGTGACTTGCCCTTCTTTTTTTTTTTTTTAGGAATTTGGGATTCAGAAAAAAAAAATGTGTGAAACACACAAATGAAATCAACATTCTATGAGTTAAATTCTATATGCTCTATTAGAAGAGCATCCTGATTGGAAGCAGACATTAATTAATCAAAACTCACATTTTTGAGAATACAGAATCAAAGAAATATTACTTATTTAGACCATAGACATACCTTTATCATTTACATAATAAAATATATGTGAATCATTAATTAAAAATATTCCTCATAATGACCACAGAAACATTATAATACATGTAATAGATTAATTACAGTATATCTTTATCATAAAAATAAATTTATCATTATAGCAAGTTAATGATATAGATCACTTGGATACGCAAATATTACTCTCTTTATGTAGAGAGAGAGCAAGTGCAATTTAAACATGGCAGCAACTGTCGTTTATATATATTATAACACAATAGACAGACTGTGTCACAGCTGTAGAATTTAATACACAACATATCGTGATACCTGTGCACCAGATTGAAATCTGGATAGAGGCCCTGTCTACTGATGTACATTGCCACAAGTACAATAACTGCAAATCTTATTCAAACAGCTCTCCTCTTATGAGATTTATCAACCAATTAGAAAGTGGCTTTAATAGAAAGCATTGTAACATGAGTTCTGGTTGGTTGCAAATTGTACAAGAGCTGAATGGGATTTGCAGTCATTTCATCAAATGTAGTTTGCAATGATGAACACTGGTGACTGTACGTATACTGAGTAAAAGCAAGAGTAGTTTTTATTTAAGATTGAATTCAATCAGATTTCAAATCCAATCTGTCTAAATGAAATGTTATTCTCACAGAATTCCTAACAAGTATATCGTAAAAACTTGATTAATTCGTCGTCCCTATTAATTCGCGCACCCGTTTTATTTTCGAACGCTAATTTTTAAATGTATCCTTTTAATTCGCGGCGTTCAAAAACATGTTTAAAATTGTATCCTATTAATTCGCGGGCCAGAATAAAGTGGATAACTCAAATATATTGCATGAAGACATTAAAAATATACATTTTGTTTGAGTTTTTGTTATCAGTACTTGGTGTAGCCGCAATCGCAGATGATTTCCGTCATCGCAGATGATTTCCGTCATCACAGCCTTTCAGTTAGCAAGCAGTTTAGATTCGGTAAAGATTTGACCTGAAAAAAATCATTCCCCCACGACACTACAGATGTTGGGCAAGATTATTACTTAGTCGATAAATATCCATCGGTCAGCACATCGATTACGAATTTCGGTGATGGAAAGGTTAGTACAGGGCTTTTTTGTTACTTGTCCACAGGGTTGCATCGACCATGTGTCCGCCATTATTCTATTACATCATTTAAGTGAACCGCCCTATGGTGCGTAAATTGACGTTTTTGATTGGTCAGGCGATTGACCTCATGTCACATTTTCTTTACGCCAGATTCGGTAAAAAACACAGAGTTAAGCGGTCATGTACCTTTCTATAAATCTAACCTTGCACACATAATCTTGTACTGATGTGTTTTTTGTCCAAGAAAGGCGTTCTCTTTCATTTAACCCCCAGTTAACTCTTCGCGTCGATGGTATTTGTGAGAGTTGAAAGACTTTTTGAACAAATGACAAGTAACTACCCAATTATTAACTAATTTTGGATTAATTGTTTTATTATTTTTTTTTCTCCATTAATATTCTGTTTTTGTAGATTAGTTTATTTATTATTTTTTTATTACTTCCTTATTATTGTATTAATACTGTATACATTTACTAATATCTGTAACCATTGCCACTCTCTCCGGGGAGTGAGTAAGTGTTAATAAATAAATAAAAAAATAAAATAAAATAAAATATAATGATTTGCGTCAAGCTGGGTGGCCCGAATTTAAATATCAGTGCATGAACTCTGGAGGTCATTGCCCAATGCTGCACGTAATTCAAATGCGTGGTTATTAGAGTTCAGTCGAAACGAACGTGAATGATGCGATCGAAGTGCGCTGCCCAGAGTGTATTATATTATAGTAAAATTTAATTTGACGTATGGTATGTTTATGTTTGCGTAATTATTACGAATGCAACGCATTATCAAGTCGGTGATATTGAAATATTCACAGACCCAATACCCCGGGTCAGTATCCTAACAATAGTTAAAAAAAAACGTGATTATCATGAAAGCAATACATTACGAATTTGAAATATTCAGAGCCGGTACAATATTGTAAACAAATTTGCGTAATTAGAAAAGCAGTGCACTAAGTAAATGACGTTGATACATGTATATTCAAAGCCAGTACAGAGTTGCATACAAGTTGTGTAATTACAGTACCTTCGGATATAATAACAATTTTACTAGAATGACGTGCGGGACACGAAAGAAAAAGGTTGCTAAGGTAACGCGCCAGTTCAGCGCGTGACTTGGGGTCAAACTTCGGTCAACACACACTTGATGTCAGCATCGCCACACAGCAAGTTTCGCAAAGAAGTACTTGAAGTTCAATTGCGTCCCAAAATGATGTCGCTGATCACTCAGTTGTTGCTTAAAATTTCAATTAAATCGGGCCACATTTGGCGCAGAAAAAAAAATTGCGTCCAAACGGCTTTCCCATTTTGACAGTATGGTGGTGCTATCAACGTAGTAATTTATTCCCTAGAGGGGTCCCACAATTGAGCAATGTCTTGCAATATACGCAACTCATTTCAAGCCTCATGGAATGGGCGCCGTGAGCAAGCCAAAACGCCACAGACTTTATTGAATTTTGGAATTTGTCGAAACCCTGATTCGGTACATGATTCTCAAAGTATCAGTGATGGACTGAAAACCCCAGTGACAGAATCAGTACCTTTAGAAAATGTTCCAGCAGACACACAAAATGCCGATGGTATTTAGTCTGGTAGCATAGCGGTGACTGTGGGGAGTGTCACTAATAATGAAGCCAAGGAACATCGACGATTTCAGCAAAGTTGATTAACAACTCATCCATGGCTGAAATACTCGGAAGATGAAAATTTGATGTACTGTAGTTGGTGTGTATTTTCAAAAAATAATACTGCTATGACACGGGTAAGTAATAATTTAAAAACTAATAGTAATGGAATAAACATATGTTAAACTAATGTGTGTGATGACTTTATGATTATTTATAAATGTTAACTCAATAAGGGCTGCAATTTTACCTTGATCCAATTTTATTTACCCATTAATGGTTACACCATGGAAATTTTCATCCTTTGACAGGTAGGTGGACATTTCCCTAAACCAATTTACCCCCGGCCCTATTTTATAATTTATGGCCCTGCTTTTTTCAAACGATGGGCCTTTATGGCCCCACAAAAACAGAATCTGGTGAGAACACTGTTTCTGACACCATTTTTATCAACGCAGGGTTATTTTTCCAGACAAGATGGGCTTCGTAATATCTGCCATAACATCACCGATATCTAGAAAAATAAAAAAAAGGCAGTGCAGCCAGACGGCTACTTTGTAGCCACGTGTTCATTGTTTGTTTGTGTACAGAGTGACGTTTGCCATTTCACTGTTTCATTTCAAGTGTAACATAGTGTGTGTTCTCTGCCCGACTATACGCCATGAATGTCGCTAGCCACGAGTCTCAGAGGCACTAAAACAGCGTCCTGTAATCGTGTTCATTGAAAAACAAAACAAATCACTAACTAATTTATGACTACAGCTCCTTTTTGAATCGATCTAAAAGTACTCTTTTAATTCGCGCACTAAAAACCAATAATTTCCGTTTTAACGCTATTAGTTCGCGCACTTGAAAAAATAATTATTTTTACTACCGCGAATTAATCGAGTTTTTACGGTATATACATTGTATTGTGTAAGTGCCTTTAGTGTTCAGTTTGGCTGCACTCACCTGATAGTTGCTTCTTACACTGATCTGCAAGTTGGTAATTCGCTGTGCGGAGTTCCAACAGACGATTCTGATACAAAAAACAACAACATTAGTACATGTAAATATTGAAATAATTTTACAACGTTCCACAAATACACTGTGAATCATTTAATTTTCAACACAATTAATTATTACTAATTTTTTTACTAAAACACAAGGGAATGAAATAGTACCTGCTACAAAATTTGGTGATTTCCCTTACTCACGAAATTCACAATCTATTTGGAACAAAACAATGCGCAATGTAATTTGCTTTCTAAACTGAATATAAGTTTTAAAGTCAAGTGTTTTTACATTCATCTTATTGCAAATTACACATGTGTCAATAAGTTTGTATAAACACAACAATTTTGAGATCCTTAGAATTTTAACAACTGGGCACCACTTACACCGGTGAAAATGTCCCTAGTTAGGTCACAGTAATTGTCTCTCGCAAAAAAAAAAAAAAGAGGTTAAAAGTATTGACACTCCAAATAATATTTTAATCACTTTATCGTTAATATTTCACATTTTTTGTCTATATTACTTTGAACCAGCCTTGAACTAGATTATAACATGAGGTAAATTTGTTGAATTACATGACAGGTATTATTGAAATGGCGGTGATCTTCGCATGTTGTGTTGTGTACGTCGCTATGAGTACTATACCGAACGGTACGATGCGCGACGACCACCGCCCTTTAACCCCAACCCTCCTACAAACCCAAAACACGTCAAACTGTGTTTTCATCTAAATCCTCGTAATAAATGTACCCACGGGTTTTAAAGTATGTACATGGAAATACAAATTGCAAATGTGTTTAGAGTTTGACGAAGTAAATTGCAATTACATAACGTCGAAGTGTTCCATAGTATATAAAAAAAAATCTTGGCTGTGATTACAATGATCGTCGCGGTGCGGAGGCGTTTTATGTGCTCTCCGTGTCTCGGGAGCCAACTATCCCCAAGGACGGGTTTATAAAAGCGCTATTAGTGATGTTTGACAGCGTTTACATCAACTGCAGAATCGCAAATTAGTTAATGCCATACATCACAAGTCTGAAATTCTATATTTGTGAAATTTTGGATGATCAAAGCTCATTCATGTCATATTTACCTGCATCCGTTGAAATTCCTCATCAGACAAGGACTGCGCCATTTTGAAGTATGACGTCACTGGTGAAAGAAATAAACATCTTATAGAGGGCGCTTCATGCAAGTGGGCACTGCTATTTAAAATCTGTTCCGTGAAATTGCGAAAGCTATATTTTATAAACACAATTAAAAACATTAGGGGTGACCATTAGGAACTAGGGAGGGCGCCAGTAGAAAAAAAAATTGAAAAGCAATGACACAGATAAAAACACGGAAAAACATATTTACATGACCCGCATACATTTGATAGTGAACTGTAAATATGTTTTACGGCAAAATCACCCTGAAAAACACCTAGCTTAAAACTAGAACAAAAACTATACTCCGCACAGGTGTTCTACTCAGAATTCTCCAATTTTTAACACATTTCTCTGAAATTAAAAATATTCTGGAATTTTTAATCGTTTTCCGCACTCTGAGCGCTTCTCTTTGTTTAAAGAATTGTAATTATGTTGTTGAGTGTACTCCAATTCGTATTCATTTATTATAAAGCCAAACCCGTATATCTTAATGAGTGTAATCACTACAATTGTCTCCCAGGTTTGCTAGCTTATTATACGTTTATTTATGCTGGCCACGGTCACCAAGTTTCAGCATAGCGCCGCGTGCGCGAGGTTACTCATTGAGCATGAATGAGCAATACACGAACAATTAATACAGTGAACAGAACAGAACAGAACACAGTGAGTCGTTGACGCCAGCAAATCATCATATGTTCCTCCGTGATCTATTTTAGGACGTCTAAGTTGACAGGGGACATGTTTCATCAATAATTCAATGATTTGTATTCACATTGACATCGCCAGGGCGTATGAATCAATATCGCCATTATTACACTGAGGACTGTTGATTTACAGGAATATATATTAATCGTTTTTTAAAATAATGCAAAATCTGGAAACTCAATAAATTTTGAAATATTGCCATATTTTTATCACCAACGTATGTCATACAATATCAATATTAGCGGAATAGTCAATTACTTAAAAACATCCCACGTTATGGATTTAGATGTTACGGCTCACTTTTGATTTCAGTTTCAAATCTCGCTTTGATCACATAGTACGTGCTATGTTGTCAAGGAGACACGTATACCACATCAATCAATGCCATGTGTTAGAATATTGAACATTCAGAATGGAATTCCGTTTATCAATATCAAGTTAACGAGAATTTAAGAGCATGTCCCTGTTTCGGGTTTCTACCTCATTAACCTGTCATATACTAAAGTTTGGGATTGGTTGTCCTTTGACACTTTGTCATTTCACGCTCTGTAATCAAACACTGTTACCTCCCGCGACACAGAGTTAGCAAACCAATAAATCAGAGAGCCCTTTTACAAAGTATGTTTCTTTCATGATCATATTGTTCACAAAATCCTCATAGAGGTTATTTCGCCAAGTACAAGAAAATTGTGATAAACGCTATTTATCTTTTGTGAATTTAGGATTTAATTATGATATTGATTCCAATTGAACTTGTTCCAAAAGATTTTATTTTTGCATTTTTCAGTCAGTTTTTCTCAAATACAATATTTCGTATAGGAAAAAAACAACATAACAAACATTTGATGACATGTGTCAGATGTGTCCAAATGTCTAATTACGTAACACATTTGATACAACAAATTGCGATACATTGTCCGCGAACAACAGATAGTCAGTGTTTGTCATTATTCTCGAATATTAAATAGTCAGACATACAAAATGATTTATTTTGTGCACCTTAACAATAGGTGAAATATAATGAAAGAACAGATCGGTCGTCTTTCATATCATTGGGCTTCACGGGACCTATTTAGAACATAACACATTTTGTAGTAACGCACATTTTTGCCCGAGTTACATTTGCAGAAACCTCATCTTTCCGAATGACTTACAGCGTCCTCTCCGACGGATTCACTGTGACACACAACCATCGGCGAGGGCGCAGTAACTCAGGCAGATTATAGTTTCGCTGATTTACCATTTCAGGTATATTCAGTGGGTTTTAAATTCACGGTTTTATCATTTAGATAATGTGTTCTATGCTAAATTTTACATATTCACTGGGTTTTAATTTAGCGCATTTTCCAGTCAGCGAAATAAGCTAAATTAAAACCCAGTGAATAATTAACCCCTTTACAGTATAATGAAAAAAAAAGGAATGCTGGGAAATGCCTGATTAAATAATGTCATAATTAATGTTATCCATGCAGCGGCTATTTTTGATTACTTATTCTATCGTATTGGTGTTGTTTAAGGAAGAAGCCTGTCCATGATTTAAAATACCCAGAATTTATTCATTTTCAAATAATTTGATGTGCGTCACCTTAGTTTTCGAGATGGGTGTATTATAGTGCTTTAACCAAAGGTTCATATAGAAGATCAATAGTAATTGACATTACATTGTATATTTCAGAGTGAATCTCGACGTATGGTCATATGAATATATTAACGTCAGCAAACAGCCTCTACCTCATCGGTTCACTACCACAATTTACCAGCAACTCAACTTAGTATAGCGCAAAACATTGTTTTATTAAATAACAGAATAGTGCAAAAATCAGGAACTTGACGTGACTGGGACGATTTACTCGTACTTTGAAATTTCAAGATGACCAGGAACGGCGAGTGCCTGTTTAACTTAGTTAATCAGCGCCCTCACTTACGACTTCCCTGAAATATATATTTTTTTTATTCGCAAATGGGTAAATCTTGACACATTATCCTCGGGGGCGGAGCTACGTCATAAGACGTTCCACGTTGCTAAGATGCGCACCACTGTACCATGCATTTCTATGGGCTCTGTGCGCGCTGCTGTGGAACGCCGGTCGAGCCGGTGAAAATTCAAGAAAACAACACAAACTCAACTTTGAAGTAATCCTGAACAACCAAATTTATATATGTTACACACCCTACGTAGGGCTAATCTAGTTACACTGTTCAGAGAAGTTTCAACAATCATCCCAAAGCACCGTTTTCTGCGAGTTTTTGGCCTTTGTTTTCACCGCCAGGGTTGCCAGGCGGTGAAAATGCCCGGATGTCCGCGCCTGAGGATAGACTAGTAGCAGTGATCGTATCAGTCAGCAAAATCAAAGGACACAGTAAATAGCAGCACATTTTTGACTAAGTTTTCCTAGCTACAATCTACTTCATCTACAATCTACTAATGACTGACTGGCTGACAGATGATGAAAAGCGAAACAATAATTGTATAATTGACAGCTCAGCAAAGGCCAGTGGTCGTCTTGCCGCGCATGTGCGTTGATAAACGTTGATTTTCCCACAGTTCAATTCGCTCTTCTAATGGAAATCACGGGTACGAGTTTTGACCTGGCGCGACGTGTCATAATTACGCTGTTGACTCTTTCGATACCTTCCAATCACCAACAAATAAAACTAGTTAAAGATTGGTAACGTCTCAGTTTGTATTTGTCGGTCAGCACAACAATCAAAGTCATATCCCGCGCATGCGTGGCGCGTAGACCACCAATTCTTAAAGCGGAAGGGTCGACACCTGCGCACGCAGCTGACGACTCCCCCGCTTTAACGATTCTGTACGGGGAAATCCGCACGGTGTGTCCGGATTGTGAATGTTGACAAGTTTATGTTACTTAGTAAAAAAATCCTTCCGGCGAAGACGAGCAGAAATTAAGACTATGTTCTGAAAGGAAGCGTTCAGAAGGTCAGTTGCTTTATAGTTGGAAAAATTACGTATGTTGCCAGCGCAAGTTTGTCTTGGATTGTTTGTCAGATCTTACAAATGTTCTTGAACAATATTATTGGTGGTCTCAATTTTGGGGGTGACCTCTGACAGGGCAGTTATATTATCGGACATGCAACACAGCTTGCGATATATATTTCTCTTTTCGGTGTATACAGGCCCCTTTATACTTTTTTCGTTATCCGTTATGAGGGCTTTTTAATTGCTGGTGATGGGTTCTCGGGATTTTTAATTCATGGTGATTCGTTCTCAGCTAATTTCTCGTTCTTCGATATTGGGTGTAATGAATTTCCGGTGATACGTTCTCGCAACTTTTAATTTCGCGTTATGCGTTCTTTGACTTTCCCGTTTTCTGTATTGTACGCTGAATTGCGCCACCAATAGTTTAAAATCGGTACACCTGAGTGTTTTTTATACTAGTACACTCATGTACTTGTAGTATGAGAGAGTTCTTCTCATTGGTCAATTCTTCGAAGTGTATGGTGATCTTTTGCCAATCAAATCTACTGTTCTATAATGATTACAGCAAGTCTCCGAAGTATTGGGGCAGCCAATTTGCAAACTCGCTAGCGAATTGGCTAACTGCCTGGGTTTTGACTAAACAGTTGGCTTTCGAATTTCGCTGGCGCCGTCTTGTTATTATATGAGTGGTAGGCGAATGTACCGGCGACTGACTAACTATGCCGACCCTACTTTAGGTCACTTTTTATTATCCAAAAAACGTTCCGAGCGCCTGTGGTTTGCTGGTGTGTCTAGGAAATACTTAAGGTTTCATGTACGTCATTAATGCTAACACGCTTTATTACATAATAAATTATAGTTTTCTTCTAAATTGTCCTATTGTTTATTGAATTCTTATTACGTCATAGTTTTCCAATGGAATATTAAAAGCTTCACAACTTGTAATAATGTATAGTAGATAAGGAAAAAATGTCAAAGCGTTTTTCCTCTGTTCTACAGGGACGTATATTATTAGAATTAATTTTGAATTATTCATTTGAGAACAATTTTTAATGTGCAAATTATTTTCATACTTATGA